TCAGGGAAGCCAAAAGCTGTGCCCAGCTTGGGGCCTGAACCCACGAGCTCAGGGCTCGAACCCTGAGGTTAAGAGTTTCATGCTCTACCAACTGAGCCAGCCAGGCAAACTCAGGGAGCTTTTCAATTACTGTTGATGGTGGTGTTTAGCAGTCTAGAAACAGTGCCTTGAAATGAATACTTAACAATATTTGATGGGACACTCAGTTAGAGGCAGACATTTAGAAAGTTATGAAGCTTTACTCTCGATGGCCTGTAAATATACATGCACAAATTCACATATATATGCACTAATTCGGTAGCAAGAAGTAATTAAATTATTTGGAGTGATGATTGAAAAATAAATATTTTAAGGGGCAAGAGGGCAAAATTTAAACACTCTGCTCCTCATGCTCATTTCTTTAGTTCCCAGTGTTGACTGAGGAGCTGTAGTAATTATAAGTGGTAATAATGTTTGATAATTATATATTTGCCTGCGTTTACATAGGCCATGAAATAGGGGAACTCAGTTCATAAGTGAACCCTCGTAGATATGCTTTCACTAGAAGGCCTTCAAGACTGAAGTTCATCTCACAACAAAGCAACAATTGGGGCTAATCATGACACTAAACTCAGGAGGAGAACAATTAAGGATAAACTTCCAGCCCAAGAGGGTGAGATGGGGACTGGAGAGAGGATAAAAGTGCCAACTAGTTGGATCAATAGCAGAGATTCTTTTGAGCATCTGTGCTTGTGCAAGGACCCCATGCTAGGTACTGTGGGCGGCAGGGAGGGGAGAGGAAGGGGCAGAGAGACAAGATGCAGGATCTTATAATGTCTCCTTTGACAGGAGAGTGCCTCTCTCAGCAATATGGGATTAGTGCCAAGTCAGTACTTTGGGAGCTCCCTGATGGAGAAGCTGGAGAGGATGGGGGCAGCAGGAGAAGCTTCTTTGAGTAGGCAGCATGCAGATGTCAGTCAAAAAATTAACTCTGCTGGGTGTTGGAGATACAGGGGCGATCAAGAAAGAGTGCCTGTTATCGAGGAGCCCCCATTCTGGTGGAGGGAGATAGACCAGAAGTGTTATTATGATTATTAGAGTGTTTTTAGGGGTTTTGGCATTATTAGGTATTGTTAGATATAAATATCAGATTTATTAATCAACGTTTTGTTGTTCAGTCGCTCAGCCACGTCTGACTCTTTGCAACCACATACACTGCAGCACGCCAGGCGCCTCTGTCCTCCGCTGTCTCCTGGAGTTTGCTCAAATTCGTGTCCGTTGAGTTGGTGATGTTATCTAAGCATCTCATCGTCTGCCACCCTCTTCTCCTTTGGCCTTAAGTCTTCCACTGTGGCTTAGCTGGTAAAGAATTCGACTGCAATGTGGGAGACCTGGGTTCGATCCCTGTGTTGGAAAGATCCCCTGGAGAAGGGAAGGGCTACCCACTCCAGTATGCTGGCCTGGAGAATTATAGGGGTCATGAAGAGTCAGACACAACTGAGCGACTTTCACTTCACTTCACTTCCTTTATTATGTCCTCTCACATAAAAATGTATTTATATAAATCCTATTTATATAAACAGGATTATACTATTGATGTGTTTCAAAATGCATTCTCGTTTTTCCACTCAAGATTATGTTTATTTGTCTATGTCCCACGAGTAAGGTTGTTTTCTTACCCTGAAGCTATTGGTCATCTCTTCCTTCCTTGACACAATCTCTGTTTTAATCCAGGCATCCACCGTTCTTTGGGTGGAAATTTGTTTCCAGGAAGACAGACTCTATCTCCAGTCTCCAGGGTAGAAGATAATTGGACTTAGTTAAAATAACAGTCCATTCTTCTGGCCAGTGACTGGAATAATAATGGACATAATTCTGGCTGAGGTGAGGGTGAGACTTGTGGTTGGTTTTGGAGAATGGGTTTCCCTGATGATACAAAGAGATACTTTGGAGCACCCTCTCTACTTTTGTCAGTAAGTATCATTCCTACTTGGGATGGCTAAAACTATAGCAGCTTCAGTTCAGTTCAGTTCAGTTGCTTGGTCATGTCCGACTCTTTGTGACCCCATGGACTGAAGCACGCCAGGCTTCCCTGTCCATCACCAACTCCCGGAGCGTGCTCAAACTCATGTCCATGAGTCAGTGATGCCATCCAACCATCTCATCCTCTGTCATCCCCTTCTCCTCCCGCCTTCAATCTTTCCCAGCATCAGGGTCTTATCCAATGAATCAATTCTTCACATCAGGTGGCCAAAGTGTTGGAGCTTTAGCATCAGTCCTTCCAATAAATATTCAGGACCGGTTTCCTTTAGGATTGACTGGTTGGATTTCCTTGCTGTCCAAGGGACTCTCAAGAGTCTTCTCCAACACCACAGTTCAAAAGCATTCTTCAGCACTCAGCTTTCTTTATGGGCTATTGGAAAAACCATAGCTTTGACTAGATGGACCTTTGTCAGCAAAGTAATGTCTCTCCTTTTTAATATGCTCTCTGGGTTGTCATAGCTTTTCTTCCAAGGAACAAGTATTTTTTAATTTCATGGCTTCAGTCACAGTCTACAGTGATTTTGGAGCCCAAGAAAATAAAGTCTGTCACTGTTTCCATTGTTTTTCCATCTATTTACCATGAAGTGATAGAATTGGATGCCATGATCTTCATTTTCTGAATGTTGAGTTTTAAGCCAGTTTTTCACTCTCCTCTTTCTCTTTCATCAAGAGGTTCTTCAGTTCCTCTTTGCTTTCTGCCATAATGGTGGTATCATCTGCATATCTGAGGTTATTGATATTTCTCCCAGCAATCTTGATTCCAGCTTGTGCTTCATCCAGCCCAGAATTTCACATGATGTATTCTGCATATAAGTTATATAAGCAGGGTGACAATATACAGCCTTGACATACTCCTTTGCCAATTTGGAACCGGTCTGTTCTTCCACGTCCAGTTCTAACTGTTGCTTCTTGACCTGCATACAGATTTCTCAGGAGGCAGGTAAGGTGGTCTGGTACTCCCATCTCTTTCAGAATTTTCCAGTTTGTTGTGATCCATACAGTCAAAGGTTTTAGCATAGCCAATGAAGCAGAAATAGATGTTTTTTTTTTTAATTCTCTGGCTTTCCCTATGATCCAATGGGTGTTGGCAATTTGATCTCTGGTTCCTCTGCCTTTTCTAAATCCAGCTTGAACATCTGGAAGTTGTTCGCAGACTGTTTACGTACTGTTAAAGCCTGGCTTGGAGAATTTTGAACATTATTTTGCTAGCATGTGAGATGAATGCAATTGTGCGGTAATTTGAACATTCTTTGGTATTGTCTTTCTTTGGGATTGGAATGAAAACTGATGTTTTCCAGTCCTGGGGCCACTGCTAAGTTTTCCAAATTTGCTGACATATTGAGTGCAGCACTTTCACAGCACCATCTTTTAGAATTTGAAATAGCTCAACTAGAATTCCACCACCTCCACTAGCTTTGTTCATAGTGATGCTTCCTAAGGCTCACTTCACTTCACACTCCAGGATGTCTGCCTCTAGGTGAGTGATCGTACCATTGTGGTTATCTGGGTCATTAAGATCTCTTTTGTATAGCTCTTCTGTGTATTCTTGCCACCTCTTCTTAATATCTTCTGTTTCTGTTAGGTTCAGGAGCTTGCTCTGTCCACTCCACACATCGACCTGGTATTACAGATAATAAATTACTTGTTGTTTAATTTAAACCAGTTGAGTTGCATCTTTCTGTTGCTTGTAGCAAAAAGCATTCTAATTGATATACATCCATAAATAAAACTACATAATTACTTTGAATGGTTACCTATTCTATTGCTCATAGAACTAACACTGGAACATTCCCAATTGTTTGACATTTAGGCCGTTTTAAATATTTTTGCCATAATAAACAACCCTGATGAGTATCAGTACTTTCATTAATTCAATTTTCAAGCAACACTTTGTGTGTCTATATACCTTCCATCCTCTGACAATAAGTCTCTATCCTAGAAGATTGGTCCCACTGAGGTGCAGGTTCTTATATCTGACAGTTTTGTCAAACATCTCCATTTTTTTTCTTCTAGTGGAAAGAGCATGGACTTTGAAACCAGACAGAAATGGTTAAAAACCTCTGCTGCTTCCAAGCCAATCTTATGAGCTTCAGTTTCCATGCTCTGTGCAAAGCTGTTGTCAGGACTAATGGGAGGGTACATATTAAGAAGCCAGTGTGGAGTCTGATGCATCCTAAGTGCTGCAATGGTCCTTGATTTAGCATTTTGTTACTTAGAGGAATGTACATGGGAAAAGAGGAATAGGGGTACTTCTCTCAAAATATGGCAGTAAGATGCTACTTGCTTTCTTTCCAGAAAGGCCAAGACTTCCTGCTATTTTTTTTTAATTTATAGTTTGACATAATTCAGATTTACAGAAGAGTGGCAAAAGATAGCACGAAGAGTTCCTGTATACCTTTCACCCAGCTTCCTCTAAGGTTAACATCTTATGTAACATGGCACACGTATCAAAACCAACAAGTTACTCTTGGAAATATCATCAAGTATTGACTTTATCTAGATTTAACTAGTTTTTCCACTCGCGTGCCTTTTCCCCTTCCAGGATGCAATCCAGGATACCATGTTGCATCAGATCTTGCTGGTTTTTAATAGACTCAAAGCCTCTGAGGGCCGAGCCGAACACACTTCTGCCGGGAAAATCTCCAGAGCTAGCATTTACTGTGTGTTTAACAGTAGCCATCCTCACCACACTATGGGGGAGGTATTCCCGTCCTCATTTTACAGATGGAGACACTGAGTTTCAGAGAAGTTGAGAGGCTCCATCAGGGTCACCCAGAGGCACAGCCGTGTTAAACTGGGCAGCCTGGTTTCTGCTTAGCTGCCTTCTGGAGAGTACACACTCCCCTGGCCGGAGCCAGTGTTCCGTGGGTGGCCATGGGGAGCAGGGTCCCAAATCGAGCCCTTTCTGAGGACCCCTGCTCGCTCTGGGTTAGCTCCTGGCTGGCAGGCCCCCTGTACAGCCCTTCTCCCGCTCCCACCTAGTTCTCTCTGGCTCCCAGCAAAGTTGCAGCCCGTCCATCCTCCCACCGTGCGCTTGGCATAGGCGCCTCCTGGTGTTTGCATTTGAATAGAGGCTCCAGCCTGCAAGCAAACAATGAGGCCCGTGAGGGATGGGGGAGGACTCAACCCATCACGTTCCTGCAGCCACTTTTTACCAGCCACCCTAAGGCAGAAGGCGGTTCTCCACTTACTCAGCAGGCTTATTTCTCCACTTGCGGTATCATAGACAGTGCCTTTCTCCCTCTCATTCGGGGACCGCCCCTGATCCTGAGGACAGTTCAGTTCAGTTCAGTCTCTCAGTCATGTCCGACTCTTTGCGACCCCATGAACTGCAGCACGCCAGGCCTCCCTGTCCATCGCCAACACCCGGAGCTTGCTCAAACTCATGTCCATCGAGTCGGTGATGCCATCCAACCATCTCATCCTCTGTTGTCCCCCTCTCCTCCCACCTTCAATCTTTCCCAGCATCAGGGTCTTTTCAAATGAGGACAGGAAAGGGTCTTTTTGACACAGCCTGGGGTCTCCCACTAGCTCTGCCCACTGCCATGAGGGAAGCAGGCAGCTTCAGCCTGCTCTCTCAGCTCCCAGCTCCCTCACCACCGCCGTGCCCTCGAGGGGCTTCTAGTGACCTGACTGCAGGGCTAGATGTCTCCTGCGACAGTGCAGCCGGCAGCTACAAGCATTACTTCTGAGCTACCCTGCTGGTAAGTGGCCAAGCATGGGCCCAAACCTCAATCTGGCTGGCTCCAAACTATAATCCTTCCACTACACCAAATGTTCCACCGTGATTATTCTCGAAACAAGATCATTGCCAAAACCAACCTCGGGTTCCTGGTGCCGGGAGGACCTGTGCTGGCCCAGCTCGGGCCGCGTGCAGATCCCAGGCTCTGGAGGACCAGGCTGGGGACAAAGCCCCTTTCTAAGGCACCTGCCGGAAGGCAGATGAAGGTTCTCCACCTGGCAGGCAGGAGGGCACGGGTAAGGGCTTGCATCCTGTCAGGGAGTGGGCATTTCCTCGTTCAGGTGACACAGTTTGCAGAAGGCTGATAGTGAACTGCGTCTCTATTTATCTGGCAAACCTGGCCTTCCCAGGGTGGAGCAGCGTTAATCCTCCTGTTTACCTTAAGTGAGTTGGGTGAAACTAGCATTGTCTGAAGCGAGAACCACCTTTCAGTCGTGGGCCTGACCTCAGTCCTGACACAGAAACCAGAGGTGGGGGGAAATTGTCACAGCACTGGAAGCTGCCATCTCAGAGTCACCGACCAGTCGTTTGTGCCCCTCTTGGTCACGGGTGGTTGGAGTGGCTGGATGGGCCCTGGAGAGCTTTAGAGCAAGAGTAAAACAGCTAAGCCGTGCCCGGCACTGTGCACCGTGAATCGAGCGCTTCACCCGTGGTGACGTGGTTACGCCTCGGAACTGCAGGGGGTGAGGTGTGACAACCGTCTCCACTTTACAGATGAGATAACTGAGGCACAGAGAGCTTAAATACACTGCTAAGTTCACCCGGCCGTTCAGTGGCAGAGCTGCAAGTTGAACCTGGGCAGTCTGGGTGCATGTAATCATTAGTCTATATACTGGTGACCAACCTAGACAGAGGTCTGGAGGGACATGGACCAAAGCATTCGTGCTGGCTGTCTAAGGTGGTTTTCCTTAACTTTTCTATTTGGCTTTCCTATGTATGTAGTGTTAGTTGCTCGTTCGTGTCCGACTCTTTATGATGTCATGGAATGTAGCTCGCCAGCTTCCTCTGTCCATGGGATTCTCCAGGCAAGAATTTTGGAGTGGGTAGCCATTCCCTTCTCCAGGGGCTTTTCCTGACCCAGGGATCAAACCTAGGTCTCCGGCATTGCAGGCAGATTCTTTACCCTCTGAGCCACCAGGGAAGCCCATTTGGCTTTCTTAGTTTTCTACAAAAATATATGTTTTGTGGGGACAGGGAAAGCAATACAAAGAATTATCCTAGAGAAAAGAGAAGGTCCTTAGTGAGTGCGTGTTGCCCAGGGCTCTGTTCCAGACGGCTTTCACAGAAAATCAGTTTGGAGAGACTGTGGTGGCTCAGGTGGACAGACGGCATATTTGCCTAAATCACTGATATAAAATGAGAGCTTTACTTATTTACTCATTCGTGTATTGCTTCAATTAGTCATTCATTCCTTCAAAAATGTATGGAGCTCCTGCCCTGTCTAGGTACTGTGGTGGGTGCTGGGGACTCAGTTATGCTTAAGACAAAGTCACTACCCTCCAGGGGATCCTGATCCCAGGGTGGGGGTGGAGAAAGCTGTGCTTTCAGTTAAGCACCTGGTAACATATTAAGGAATAAAAGAGTTTGCAAGTCTCTTTTCTCCACCAGAGTTTGCACCCTTGAGGGCAGAGACTGGTACAAATGAATACCTGCCACATACTTCAACCATCCATTCATTCGTGTACTTTTGCATTACCACGTGGCTTTTGAAAAGATAGGGTGTACATAGAAGGAGCAACCCAGATGGTCATTTCTCCAGGTTGAGCGAGGCAGAGAAGAGGATCATTAGAAAAATCTCCATAGAGACTTAAGCAGAGGGGTAATAACTGAGAAGGTTTTTTGCCAGGTTGGGAAGGTACTTCCTGGTAGAGGGAACAGCATATGAAAAATGACCGTGGTGTGCGAAGTTGCCAGTGCATTTGAGGAACCTCCAGAAGTTCAGTATGGCTGGGACATAGAGTGTATGTCAGAGGGAGTGCAGACTGGGGGAAGGATAGGACTGGAGGGGTACGCAGGGCCCAGACTCCAATGGCCTTTGTCATGCTAAGGAGCTGGGACTTATATGTGGTTAAGATACAAGGAGAAAGAATCAAAGGATGGAGTGAGGGATGTATGTGCAGATGTAGTTAGGATGTGTGAAGCCTTCTCCTCCTCCTCCTCCATTCCCTGTTTCATAAGCCCTCACCTTCCCTTTTATAAAGGAGTGAAAGCGTAGGAAATGAATCTTTTAGCACCGACTATGAGTACCCTGTGGTGAGTGCTTTGCCACCTTTAATCCTTACTCTGGTAGACATCACCAGTCCCATTTTCCAGATGAGGAAACTGAGGCTCAGAGCAGTTAAGTGGCAGAGCTGAGGTTTGCACAGACATGCATTCAGTTCCAAAAGCAATGCTCTGTACACTGGGCCAGACAGAACCACTTAATGTGGAATGAAGCTTTTCTCTTCACCAAGTGTTTCATGTACCTAGGCTCACTGGATTCTTGCCATGACATGGAGTAGTAATTTGGGCAAGTAACATCATTCTCTTTTTCAGGAGGAAAATTGAGTCAGAGGGGTTCATTGACTCCGTGACAGTGATTTGAGAGTTTCAGGATTAGAGACATCCAAAGTACAGAACAGATACCTATCTGAAAACCACACATGGAAACAAAAATAACCCGGAGACGGTTCTCGGTGCAAACGGGCAGTTGTGGACATGCCACATGCGCACAGGAGATCCTCGGCGTGTGGAGGTTTGCAGCTGGAACAGCCGGAGGGGCCAATCCAAGTGGCTGAGCTAATCCCTTCCTCTGCCTTCTGCCTGCTTCCTCTGTCACCTCCAGGGCCCCTCCTGAGGGGACATCTGTGGATTCTCCACGGAATCCCTCATTTAGCTCCCGAGACCCAGCACAAGCCTGGGTGCAGAATGTTGGTGCAATTTTGACAAGATGCTCACAGAGGTTCAGTGACTAGTTTTAATTAGGCCATCTTTGTTTACGTTTGATGTTTATCAGCTAATTGGCATGGCAAGGTGTGAGTCACACAGCTTTCCCCTGGCATGGAATCAGTTTGTCAGAGAAAAAAACCAGGAGAACAAATGATCCCAATTATGAGAGAACCCACTGGGCTAATTATCGTCCCACTAAGGACAGAACCTCCCCTCCGCCTGCTGTTGTTGCTGCAACTGCGGCTGCGGCTACACCAAGTGCCCTGGGTCCCCCGTACCCTGCCCCCAGCTCCAGAACTCCAGTAGCCTGGGATCCAGGCCCCCAGCTGGCTGCCTGGACATTTGTTCTCTTGAATTCAGAGCCCACATGTCCCCTCCACTTAGACACATCCGGGCAACGTGTGACCTTAGACTCAAGATCATTTTCCCTGTAACCTCTTCCATGAATAATAGCTCATGTATGTTGTGCCTTTCCTGTGTGCAGACACTGTTGAAAGCACTTTATAATTCTTTCCCCAATAACATGATGTCAGGTCTTACTATTACCTCCATTTTACAGATGAAGAAACTGAGGTAGGTAGAGATTAAATAAACTGTCCAAGGGCAAGCGACAGAACTAGGATTTTTTTTTTTTTTTTAATTTTTTTTTTTTTATGGTAAATATTTTTATTGTTAGTTTTATCAGAAATGTGTATATATGGACAATTTTTGATGCTTAATTTTATTAGAACCAGAACCATGCTTTCTAGAAGATTGTTTCTTCTAGAAAATCAAATCTCCAGAACTAGGATTTGAGCCCACATAATCTTTCATCGCAGCACCGGCTCCTGACCATCCAGGATTCTTGCAATGTCAGAAAGGCCCCAAATCTGACCAGTTAGGATCCTTAGGCAGATTCCTGGGGGCAACTCTCCTTCTAACTACAAAGGTACCACTACCTTCTAGAACAGTGCTGTCCAGAACTTTCTGCAGTGATATGCATGTTTATTGCTCTGTCCAATGCAGCTGCCACTCAGCCATGTGTGGCTACTGAGCATGTGATATTGTGGTTAGTGGGACCAAGGAAGTGAATTCTAAATTTTATTTCATCTTAATTTTAATTGAAAGAGCTGCGTGTGGCCCATAGCTACCCTGATGGATAGGACAGTTCTGGCTGGTCAGCCCTCATTCTTCAAAGGCAGCCTTCCCTAATCAACCCTGTGTTTGTGACCCTCCCATCCCCCGCTGCAGCTTTCTGGCCTCCTAGGGGGCTTTCTTGGTGCAGACAGAGGGACGGAGGTCTCTTCCTTTTCTGCATTCTCCCCCTCCTGCTCTCTAAGCCCCCTCCAGCCGAGAGGGGCTCGCGTGGAGGAATGCGGCTTGGCTGCCCTTGAGTTGAATGATGATCGTGGACCTTTGGAATGTCCACAAAGCCCCACACCCTCAGCCTCCCCAGTCTCCCTCCTTTGCCGGGTAACAGATGGCCCCAGCTTTCACCAGCCGGGCCTGAACACATTGTCACTCCCAGCTGAAAGTGAAATATTCAGTGGCATTTAAATTAAATAGACTCTAATGCTTCAGTAATATTAATTACGTTTTCATTCATCCCTGGCCTAATAAATCAATGCGGAAAGAGGGGAGGCTCAGGAGGCTGGCAGCCGAGTGGGGCCACTGGGCCTTTGTGTGAGCCCGCACACAATGCCCCCATTCTTACCGGGCCGCGCTTGCCCCTGCAAACATCTGTGCTCAGCCCCTCTCGAGGAGGAGCCAAAGGGGTAACATTTACACTCTACTCATCCAATTTGTCCCAGCACCAGGGCCCGAGTCAACGGGAAATGTGAAGGCCATGCTGAAAATAACATGCAGGACTCAAATGCCTGTGTGTTTGGAAGCTGGGATGTTTGCAAAATTTCTGGGGCAGAGGGTTAGGGGGCTGATGGAGAGAGGAGGTGCTGTCAGACTTCCAGCTGCAGGACCGTGCTGGCTCAGCTTTGACCATAGGAGGAAGGTAGGGAGGGGAAAATAACAGCTACCATGAAATGAATGCTTATTATGTGCCAGGAACTGTGCTAAGCACTTTATTTATTTATTTATTTTAAGCAAGGTTTGTTTACTTATTTATTTATTGGCTGCACCTTGTCTTAGTTGCATCATGCAGGATCTAGTTCCCTGACCTGGGATTGAGCCGCAGTCTCCTGCCCTGGGGATGTGGGGTCTTAGCTACTGGACAGTCATACAAGTCCCTGTGCTAAGCACTTTTATTTTATTCATTCATCTTGTTTATTTATTTCATATGGTAATCTGGCAT